TAGCTCAGCGGCAAAAGCGCCTGCCTGGCAAGCGCAAGGTCGTGAGTTCGGTTCCCAGTACCAGAGAAAAACCAAAAAAAAAAAAAAAAAAAAAATACTCTTTTGTTTTTGTTTTTTTTTGGTACCAGGGATTGAACTCAGGACCTTATGCTTGCCAGGCAGGCGCTTGTGCTGCTAAGCTATATCCCCAACCCCAAAATACTCTTAAACAGAAAGAAAAATGTGATTATCCCAGAGACAGGTTAAAAGTTACAGTGAACCAAAAAAAGAAAAACCAAAAAACTAAAAGTTACAGTGGTGTCTCAGTTCACAAATTTAATTATTTCCACAATTCTGGTCACAACTGAGTTGGATGAGAACTGAATCAAATTCAGTGGTTGAAGTTAAATGTTGCCCTTATGGGGAAATTTGATTTGGTTCTCCTTCAATTTGGTTTGCAACCAGAATCATGGAAAGAATTGTTTGTGAACCAGTGTACCACTGTACAGGAACACCATTCTAGTTGATATCCAGTATCTATATACATAAATGCGTTTTTGAAAATAAAACATTGGCAGTGTCATGTATACTGTTTCATAACCTACTGTTGCACTTAATGGAGTATTAGGACAAACTGTTTTGAAATTATTAGAATCTGATCTGACTACCAGTTCTAAGATTTTATATAGCATAAATTGGAATATAAGTAACCATTCTTATGATTTCTCAGTTCATTAAATAATGTCTGCAATTAGCTATGTAAAACTTTGAAAGAACATAAGAAATGTATAAAATACAGCCCTAATTGTCATATAGCTTTGCTTGGAGGATAAAACTATTATATGTCAGACAACTAGAAAAATAATAATAAAAAGCAACAATAATAGCATTAATATTTAATAAGTTCTTACTAGATGTCAGGCACTGTTATGAGCACTTAATATGTGTTACCTTGCTTATTATTAAAGAGAGTCACCCTGTTGTGCTTTCCAGCATTAGGACATACTCTTTATACACAGACAAACACATAGTATAGCTCCATATAATTTAGATAGTTGAGTTGAATCATTTCTCTTTATTTCCCCAAGTTTCTGCACAATTGACATATCAGACTGCAGAACAGGTTTACTTTTTGCTTTACTGACAAATTTCAAAATTGATTTTGATCATATTTCTTTATACTATGTTTATATCTGATGAATAAGCATTGTAGTTGTCTTAAAATTTAAAACAAAGGCACACCTGGCCAAATAAATAAATTTAGGAAATCAGGAGTTTGATAAGAATAGTGTCTAGCTGGACATGGTGGCACATACCTATCTGTAATCCCAGCTCTCGGGAAGCCGAGGCAGGAGGATCCTGGCTACAAAGTGAGATCAAGGCCAGCCTGAACTGCATAGAGAGACTGTCTCAAAAACGCCAAAAAAACCCACAAAAAAAAACAAAAAAAAATAGTGTCTAGCTGGACATGGTGGCGCATGTCCTGTAATCCCAGCACTCGGGAGGCTGCGGCAGGAGGATTATCGGGAGTTTGAGACTAGCCTGGACTACAAAGCAAGGTCAAGGCCAGCCTGAACTGCATAGAGAGACCCTGTCTCAAAAAGACAAAAAAACAAAAACAATGTCACTTTTACCAGCTCTCCTAAAGAAGTAGGTAACTAACATTATAAGGATTTCTTTACTACACCTAAGTTCAATGAGTAGAAATAGACTAATCAGAGAAAGCGCCAAGTGCTCCTCGGTCCAGTAAAATACAGTGAAGATGTGATACGGTACCTAGGAAATTTCTTCCACTGTTGAAAACTACGGGTAGGAAGATAATTATCTTAGGAGTTCTTACCACCTGCATTATACAGCATCCTTGTCTACACAGAGAGAAAGATACTATGTTACAGGAAATGCATACACTTTACAATCAGTGGAACCATGTTCAAAAATAACACTTCAGTTTGGCAGAGAGGACCACTAAGTCCAGTTGGGTAAGACTTCACTAAGAGTGGAGTCTTCTAGCTTTTGAAGGGTAGAAGCTGAGAAAGGATATTCTGTGTAAAAAGAAGCCAAGTTGATGGCAATGAAGATATCTCAGTTGGTTTGTCTGCTTCATGTGTTCTGCACCTTTGCCATTTGTCTCCTAGTCTGAGTTTATTTCTAAAATGTTGTCCTTCTTTCCTAAACAGCTCTTCTCCTGAATATCTTGGCTTACTCTGCCATCATATATCTCTTCTTTGGAATTGGTCAGAAGTACTTATAGTGCTGATAGCAGCACCTCAGAATAGAAGGGCAGGAAGTGAGAACAAAAGACTTAAGTTGAGAAAGATTTGGAAATGGTGCCGATGGTTCACAGCAATGTGAATGTACTAAACGCGACTATCATACACTTGAAAAAGCTTAAGTTGGTAAATTTTAAGTGTATTTTAGTCTAGTAGATGGAAGAAAGAAAAAAAGATTATATAGAGAAAAGTCATCCTGAGCTGAATTGTAGTTTAGATATGTTTGTGGTCATTTCAAAGGTTTAGTACTGGACTTTTAACACTGTAATTACCATTTCGTCATTTCTATGAAAAAATCAGTTTTTCAACTTCTAAGACCTTTTCTAAGATTGGAACCTGTAGTGACAGAGGATATGCCTACAATGAGTTGAATCATGGTTTGATTGCCTATAGGATAGCAAAAATCTTTCTCAAAGTATTTTGTTTAAATATTTCATATGGTTTATCAGGAGTGACTTAAAATCTTTTCTACTTCAGTGAATTTCAGGTTCCAGAAAGTATTTGCCTTTTAATGAGCTATTGCTGTTTATCTCCTATTGACTTCCAAATTATTTTTAATGAAGGCTTTGTTGAAAAGGCTTGAAGCTGTGAAGCCCACGGTTGGTATGAAACGCTCAGAACAGCTGATGGATTATCATCGCAATATGGGTTATCTCAACCCAGCACCGTCTTCCAGAAGAGTGAGATCTACGCTTGGCCAGTATAGCCCATTAAGTAAGCATATTCAAAACTATTTGGTACCTGTTAATATCGTTTATCCTTTTTTTTTTTTAAATGTAGCCAGTGTTGTTGTGATACAGGTTTTAAATGTTAACTTCAGGAATTCATGTGTTATTTTTTGATGGCACATTTTATTTGTGTTCTCTTAATCTCAGGTTTTTATTTACAACATGTAATGGTAGCATTGGAAGGAATCCAAGAAATAAGTCAACTGAAAATATTAATAGTTTCTAGATAATATAGGAGAGGCACTTTTTAATTTCAGTATGTTTATTAAAGAAAGAAATGAATAGAAGTGCTATTTGACAGTTGCTGAAACAGTCCCCTTAACCAGTTAGAAATTATTGCTAGATATCTTCTAGCCCTAATGTGTTTTTTTCTCCCTTGCTAGGTAACTAGCACAAAAATGAACAAACTGTAGTCATCAGATACACATCTTAATGTTCGATATCTGATCATTTATAGATCTAGCCAGTCCTATACCCCAGAGAACACAAAAGTAAAGTGACTACTTAGCACCAGAGTATGCAACAACTAGAAAGACCAGATACTTCTATTTTTTTGGCAGTACTTGGGATTGATCCCATGACCTCTTACATACTGGGCAAGTGCTGTACCACTGAGCTACATCCCCAGCCCTTTTTTCTTTTCTTTTCTTTTTGGTGGCGGGGGATAGGATCTTGCTGAGTTGCCCAGACTGGCCTCAAACTTGAGGTCCTCCTGCCTCAGCCTCCTGAGTAGCTGGGATTGCAGACCAGACATTTTCCTTTACTTGAGGTTTATACTGTTACTTCACATATATATTCTAAACTATAAGATACCATACTGAAGAGAGCTGGAACTACTTGTAATACTACAGCTTCTCAGTGTTCAGGGAAATCTCAAGCACTCAAGTGACTGGTAATTCCATCTATTCATTTTGCAGATATTGCTTTTTTAAATATAGTGACTAAGATAGGATCTTGTTCCGGTGACCCACATTTAATATTATGCCTTGAGTATAATAAATTATTTGTTAAATACATAAATGATTATACTAAATGTTTTTCTTTTTTCACTTCAATTATTTGAGCAGCTTTTAAGTGCCACATCTTTTAAGCGTTTTAGGGTATTTCTGGTTTGAGAATCATTGCATTAGACTATTGGACGTATGTGGGATGATGATAATAACTTAGTCTGAATTTAGGAGAGGAAGTTTATAAGATGATTGTTATGATCTAGATGTCCCCCCAAAGCCTCATGCAGTCATGGGGTTTATGATTGATTCACTGTCAAATGTTGGAATTATGGATGTGAGTGCTAGACCTGCCCTGGCGTGGGTAGTTTGCATACAGTGTAAGGGAGGGAAAGAGGCTGCTTGCTGCCACTCTCCCCCTCATGCTCTTGTTGCTTTTGCTACCTTCTGCCGCCATGAACTGTTGACCTCTGCCATGTGCCACCCTGTCTTGGAGCCAGCTGATTATAGACTGAAACTTACACAAACTGTGAGCTAAATAAACCTTTCCTTCCTTAATTCTGGACGTCAGGTATTTTGTCTCAGCAACGAGAGAAAAGTAACTAAGACAGTGATGATTCATATATTTAGTTTGAATAATTCGGTACTCCCTTCTTTGTATGTTTTCAGGAGGAGCTTCTAGGACATCCAGTGCTACCAGTGGTCTCAGTTGTAAGACTGAACCATCAGGTTTTGACACATCTAACAACCTGTTGCTGAGACCTAAGCCTCCTAATGTCCGAGCTGCTTGGTTATAAAGCCTTTTTATTTTAAACATTTTTCATCCAATTTTTATTGATGTGTTTTTGTGTATTATTACAATTCTGTGTAAACATCTGTAATTTTTTTTAGCAATTCAGAGTACACAACAGTGAGTTGTAATTTATTGTTATTCAGTGCAGAATTGTTGTCAAAATGACCATTTAATGTAAAGTCAGTGTTTCCTATGTGAATGTATTTATATGAGGTGTTTATGTATTTATTAGAGAAATGGTACCACAGTAGGCATGTATATTTTTCTCAGTGTAGAAATGGAGTGTCATGCTGACAAAGCAGTAGTAATAATATCATTGCATGTCCACCCAAGATGTCCACTGTATAGTTTACATTTTCTATTTTTATTTTTTGTAAGCTGTAGACCTTGAGCTTACCACTTGAATTTGATTGACTTTGTTTTCCATTCGCTTTAGGACTTTTACGGAGTGAATGATAACCTGATTGTGAAAATTACACTTTATTTTTATGAAACAAATTTTGAAATGTGTTTTATGGGTAAAGCTAATACAGATTTGGTAAGCATATTGAGAGAAGCTTGTCCTGGAGCAATCCTTAGAATTCACCAGAGGTATCATAATATTTTTGTGGAAGACCATTGAGTTAGGTCTTAAAAATTTGATTAGCTACTTCAAACAATTTCATACTGTGAATATTAGAAAGTTCAACTTAGAAGCTCCTCTCATGTTTTAATGATTCAGAAAAAGAAGGTGGGCTTTAGAGCTATAATCTACTGCATTGTGACTAGTCTGTAGATCAGATTGGTTGCACCATAAGCAGACAAGTATTTGTTCAGTCAGCAAAGTAGCATCACAGAGCCAAGAAGCAGATCCCAAGGTATGTCAGAACAGTGTTTTAAGTGATTCTGTTAGCATATTATGCTATGGTTTAGTATTTATTGTATTGAGAGACAGTTAAGAATAAGAAATCTTTAGAAATTCTAAGTAGTGTCAATAGGTTCTGAAAAAGAAAATTAAATATGAACAATAAGAGAAAGGTCATACTTTGGTTCAGGCTACTCCTTTAAATATCAGGTAGTTTTCTGGTTTTGTTTTGGTGTATTTAGTTGAAAGTTGGAAGTAGCATTTTTACCAATCTCACATTTAAAGGACTGGTAATCTGGATGGAGTTGTAGTGGCAGATAGGGTATATAATATAGTGGATTTTTCGAAATTAGAGTATTTTTCTGCCAGTTGATAGGCTCTTGTTTCATATAGTAAAGTATGGTCTTTTATAGGCATCACTGTTTTTCATTATTGGCCTTGTCAGTACACCCTTAGAATATAGGAAAGTTTTCATATATGACAAATCTTTCCTTTTTAATACTAATTTTCTGCAGCCACAGTAAAATCTGTGTTTCACTTTTTAATGCTCAAGCTGTGTAGCATGTTTGCTACACCTACTTTTCTGAACACCTTTAGTAGAAAGGCAAACTATATTTTTCTAAACATAATTCATAATTCATTGGCCTAGGTTTGTATTTATGGATTTTGTTTAGGGTAAGGCATATAAAGCATGGAAACAGTGGGGTTAAATTCATGAAAACATAACCTGGGTCTGAGATTTTTCTGCAGCTTTCCCTGGGCTGTAACATTCTTCTACATTACTTGATACTTTGTTTTAGAGAGTAAGTTTTTACACTTGTTTTATATAAAAGCTTTAGCTAATCTGAACAAAGGTTTTCTTTTGTTAACTTATTGCACTTTTAATGTTTGTCTAACAATTCTTCTTTAAAGAGAGATAAGGTAATGCTAAATTTAAAACTGAGCACTTGGACATTTGCCCAATAGTGAGTCAATTTTTAAAAATGAATTTTTATTTGAGGGGGGAATATGTGTATGTATATATATACACACAGAATCTTTTGTATAGCATTAGTCTAGTACTTTGTGTATAATCTCTGCTGCCAGGTATCAGAATACAACACATAATTTCATTCTTTGATTTTAGATATCAATTAAATGCCTTCAATTTTTACAGCTTTGGAAGGGGAAGTTTGTCTAAGTATTACTGATAACAGGGATTCAATTTCAAGTAAAAGTTGGGAAGAACAATGGTCTTTTTTAAACAAAAGTTATAATTTTATTATCACAGTTGCTTAAACTATAGATAGCTTCTAGGCATTGGAAATATAGTATTCTCTGATATGAAGTCAAGGTTCTTTGAAAGTTGTTATGGTTTAAGTGACTTTTTAGTGGAGGAATCATAAGTACATTCATTACTCTGTTCATTATCTAAAGCATAAAAAAAGTGAAGGATAACCTAGCCTTATTTTGTATTTGGTTGGCTTGGAGCTAGTGTACATACCTTGAAGATTGTATCTGTCACTAAAAAATAGGCAATCCAAGGCCTAGTTTTAGGCTAGGATCTTAGCAAAAATTATTTTTGTTTCTGTCAAGTATTGAGTTAATGTTGCCTCCTTTTAAGTAAGATTCTGTGAGAGATTTTTAAACTTTTAAAATTATTTCTTAAGGGGTAACTGTTAGCTCATTCTTCCCCTGCTTCCTTTTTCAGTCTCCATGAAAAGCTGCTTTCTTAGCTGCTACTCCAAATGAAGTTTTCTGGTTTGTTTATAAATATAGTATAGTGGAGTTGTTTTCAGTGCATTAACTCAAGTGTCCAAAATGGTATTTAGACAGCTGTAAGAAGGTGATTGTGATGGGTGTGATTGTGTACTTATCTTCAGATTCAAACTGTGCAGCTGTGAAAAGTATTACAACTGATGTAAAGTTAAAAGTGTGAATTTATCATATTAAATCTCTAAAACGTTTACTGTGTGAAATGCCAAAGTCTGAACCTTTAAATGATTTTATGCCACTTAGAAAATGTGCTTAATGTTAATGGTTACTTAGATTACAGTGAATAAGATTAGTAAAATACTTAAAAGTCAACATCTTTTTACAGTTTTTTAGTCCATTGTAATGTATTTAGGCATCAAGGAACTGACTTGGCCTGGGGGAAAAAGAAATAAAAGAATTAAAGATAACTGATTTCTGATCTCATGTCTTTCTCTAAAATCCATTGTCTTGCTTCTGTCTTTAAAAGTAGAATAATAACCTCTAGGTAGCTTACAAAACTAAGAATTACAATGAAGTTGGGAGGAAGGTACAAGATATTTATATTTCAAAAGCATGACACTTAGCGGGAAAGAATTTGCTTAAAATGATAATCCTGGTCAGCATTTCTTTACCTACACCATCTCATTCATTCTGTAAAATTGTTGTGGTGCTATAGTAGAATAGATATTCTTTCAGAGCCTGAAGGAATGTTTTTTAAAAAGTAGCTGTGTATATGATGTCATTTGTAAGATATATACTGTAAGTAATAAATGCTCTTTTTAAAACTTGGTTCTAAAACATAGTTTAGGAGATTTTTGTTGGTTTTATTGTTTCAGTGGGCGTTAAGTAGAAATAATGCCACTGGAATAAATCACTGAGTAGCCCATACAGTAGTATATACTAGTTCTCAGCTACAAAGTTAAAAGATTTTTACAGCAAACAGGATTCTATTATGGAAGAAAATTTTATTTGAGTTTTAAAATTCTTGTAATTTTTTAAAAATCCACGTAGAGATATTTCTGGAATCAGTAGGATAAGACTGTTACTGTTCTGTGCCTCTATTTCAAAATCCATTTGGTAAATTCAGGTAGTTGCACTTTTTATTCTAGGTGATGATTTGAAGTTCCATTGCTTTACAAAATAAAACTTAGGTAACCTGTCATTATTACACTACAATAAGATTTTTTTCACATGAATCTAATTTCACATCCACTATTTTAAGACTGTAAAAGAATTTGGACAGTCACCAGAAAAAGTTATGGTTCTAAATTCTTAAAGGATGATATTGCAGTGATAAACCCACACATGTTTATTTCACTAATTTTGGAATTAGAGTTCATGTCCAAGTTTGTAATATGTCATTTATTTTTCTTGGTATAATTCTGAGAATGTTTCTATTGCATGTAAAAAATATCCAGAATTGAGTACAGTATCTCTCCCTCTCTATCTGTACTATCTAGAAAAACCTATTAACTCAAGAAGATTTCATTTTAAATTACAATTTTAGTAATGTGAGAGAGGCTTGGTTTTTTTTTTTAGGTAAATGCCTACAAGAGAGAAACGTTTTGTACATTTTAAGGTTTTGTTAACTGCTTATCAAAGAAGATTATAAAACCTAAATGTATTTCTGCTAACTCATTAGTTGCCACAAAGCAGACACCCCAGTCACCACTACCCAGATCCAAAGTTGGAGTACTGCCAGAATTCCCAAGATTCCTGGGGGCCTCTTTCCAGACTTTCCTCCCAGCGCCCGCAAAATGTCAAGTACTCTTTAACACTAGTTTTGCTTGCTTCTGAGCTTCATATAAATGGAACTGTATTCTTTTGTGTGTGATGTTTTGGGTCAGCATATTTGTTTGTGGGATTCTTCCATGTTGTTATATGTAACTGTGTTTCATTTTCATTTCTGTGTAGTACTCTGTTGCTTGACCATACTGTGATTTATTTATCTATTGTATGGTGGTTAAATAACGTGGGCTGACTCCCTGATTTTGACTGGAAGGTTAGTGTGTAGATGTGCCTTGATTGACCTGTGCGCACATTTTGGAGTAGAGTTGCTGGGTCACAAAGTATGTGTGTGTTTTCTAGATAATGGTAGAGTTGTCCAGAGTACATTATCAATTTACTGTCCTACAGAAGTGTTTTGGTTCCTGCTGCTTCATATCTTCACCAATATTTATTGTCAGTCCTTTTTTAAAGTTTTACATCTATAGTATTTATTGTCAGTCTTTTTTTTAAGTTTAGGCTAATATGTCTTTATTGTGATTTTAATTGCCTACTCTAGTAATACTTTATTTTGTTGGCTATGAAATACATTCATTTGTGAAGTGCTTTTTAAAGTTTCTTGCCAATTTTTATATTGGGGAATAGTTTTTTTTTCTTGATTTATAGAAGTAGTTACAGTAGTGATCCCTCATCTCTCACAGGAGTCACGTTCCAGAGACCACTGCGATAGGTGAAAATCTGTAAAGTAGCAGTGTTATATTTATTTTATTATTTATAGATATTTTAAGGCTTTATAAACCCTTCCCACATGTCTATAAATCTTTCCCACTCTCTTATTAACCTTTCCCACACTCTTATAAACACTTCATATGCTCTTAAATACTTTCTACACTATTAAACCTATGTAATTTTAACAACATGTAAAATTCTATATGATTACTGTATTTTTTTTTTAAAAAAAGCCTACAATACAGTGAAGCCACAATAAGTGAACCGTGATATAGCGAGGGACAACTGTATATATTTTGGACCCATACAATGCCTTATGAATTATGTATTTTTGTCCAGTCTGGCTTCTCTCTTCACTATAAATGGTGTTTTTGATAAAAAAAATTCTTTAACACAGCCTTTTCTCAGTGGTTAGTACTTTTTAATCTTGAATTTAATAAAATTTCCCTTTACCCAAGGCCATGAAGATATTCTGCTGTATCATTATTATTATTAATTATTTTTTAACAGTGGCAAGGTTTTACGTTTATTAAAGGTAGGAAAAAACAGGCCCTGCAGAGTGGATTTGGGCCAAGTAAAGGTAGGAAAAAAGTGAGAAAAAAATTTTAAAAGTACACTTCAAACTAGAGGATAGGGTGGGCTACCGTGAAGAGACACAGTAGCAAATGCTTAATGGTGACTTGCCCTCCTGTTTTCCACAGTGGCATCGTGTTCAGGTCATCCCATCGAAAACCTGCCTGAGTTCTCAGGAGAAGTCCACATGCAGGGCCTTGGGAGTTGTTCTGTACATGTGCCTAACCAGTTTTAGCCTCACCCTATCTTCCTGCTTCATTCCCCCTTAAGAGACAGTAACATTATTTTTTATGGGGTCCTGAGGGAGTAAAGGTCTCTGTATTCATATATCTACTTCCTGCTGGAAGGGGCTGTAGACCCTACCTAGTGGGGATTATGTGCTCTCCAACTACCTTGGGATGTTATGGCTCACTGGCTGGGTTGAAGAAAAAACCTGTACTTGGAGCCGCATTAGAATCTTGCTTCTTGAAGAGAAATCTCAGGTCTTCTAGAGGTTTATAGGAGTAGCTGTTTCCTTTTAGGTGGTTTTTTCTTTAGACAGTTCAAGTGAGGCAGGCTTTATTTCCCACTGATCAGGGATGTGCGCTAACAGCAAGGTCAGTGGAATTTGAATTACTATTCATGCTGTTTTCTGTGGCTCATCCTGGAGCAGTCACTTGAGTTAAGTTTATTGGCTGTTTTTTTGTTTTTGTTTTTGTTTTTTTCTGCTCGGGCCATCAAATGTATGTCTGAATTACCTACTGCTCTCTCGGCTAGCTAAGCCATGTATGTTAATAGGCTTTGGGGTGCTTAGGGTCTCCCTCTAGAGGCGATTTCTAGATTCTGTCCCGAATAAAGAATTGAACAAAACAAGCATAAATGATAGCAAAGTTTTACATTTATTAGAGATAGGAACAAGTAGACTCTGCAGAGTGAGTTTGGGTCAAGTAAAAGTATGAAAAAGTGAGAGAAAAGTATATTTCCTACAGTGTAGGGTGGGCTACCATGTAGAGACATGATAGCTCCACTCTCTTATTGTGGAGAAGTTGTACCTTTTCTGTAGTTACTCAGTCTACTTGAACTTTTGTCTCTCCTTTACTAATTCTGTTAAATTATTTTGTTTCAGGTTCATTCATCTGACTTAGGCTATTATTTTTGGCTATTATTTTTTTAAACTAGAAATAGATCCCTTGATCACTGATTTTGGACTTCTTTTCTAATAGAGGCATTGAAAGCTATGCATTTCTTGTAAACATAGCTTCAAGATTTGATAATGTGACATTTTTATTCTCATTAAGTTCAAAATTTTTCAAATTTCCATGTGGCATTCATTTTTAACCTTGAGCTCTTTAGAATATATTTTAGGATGCTTTAGTTATATTGTTGATTTATATAAAAATTAAGGGAAAAACTTGAAGCTGTCTGTCAGGCCACCCCACTGTCGTTCATGAGTCGAACCCAGCAGCCTGCTGCCTGTTTTGTATAAGCTGTGCTGTAGTTTGGATGGACAGTGTCCCCCAAAGACCGAGTAGTAAATGCTCCCCAGCAATAAGCTTTGGGGTGAAATCTGTAAGAGGTAGGGCAGAGAGAGATATTTTAAGTAATTGAGGATGTGCCCCTCCAGGGAGATATTGGGACCCTGTCCTTTGTCTTGTTTCCCAGCCATTATGAGGTGAGCAGCTTTGCTCTGCCGCCCTCTTGCCGTGATCTGCTGCCTCTCCACAGGCCCTAAAGCTCTAGGACCAGCTTACATGCACTGACACCTCCAAAACTATGAGCCAAGATAAATCTCTGTTTTAAAGTTTTCCCAGGTATTTTGTTACATGAACAGAAAGCTGACTGACACAGCCTGGGAACTAAGAATGGCTTGTACATTTTCAGATTTTTTTAAAATTAAAGAATAATATGTATTTTGGGGACATTTATCTTTAATTGATATGCAGATACATAAAATTGTTCATATGGTGTACCATGTGATGTTTTGATGCATGTATATGTTGTATAATGTATATACAGGGTCTATACAGGGTAAACATCCATCTTCTCGAACATTCCTTTATTGGGCAAACACTCGGATCCTTTCCTCTAATATTTAAAAATGTACAGTACGTTATTCTTACCTGTGGTCACTCTGCTTTGCTGTAGCACACCAGAACTTCTTGTTCCTACCTCAGTACCCACTTGTCTGTATTTTCACACCCTTACCTGCTCCTGCTCTTCTCAGCCTCTGGTAACCACCGTTCTGCTCCCAATTTCTATGAGATCATCTTTTTAATATTCTACATATGGCCAGGTGTGGTAGCGCACGATGGCCAGGTGTGGTGGCGCACGCCTGTAATCCCAGCAGTTGGGAGGCTGAGGCAGGAGTTTCGTTGCGAGTTCGAGACCAGCCTGGGCTACAAAGTGAGCTCAAGGCCAGCCTGAAC